CATTGTTAGTAGGTCTTAGATAACCTCCATAATTATCAGGGTCCACATGAAATTAAATTTATTAAAAAGGAGTGTTTAGAAATAAACAATACATATTGGTACATTGTAGTCAATATAATGTCCATTTCAGTTAATTCATATAATTTTTGATAAATTCAGCTAATTTCATCTAAATTCAGTTAATTCAGCAATTAAAGACATTTTACGCAATATGAACATTTTTTATAACAGTAATATTGCAAGCTTTATAAAATATCTCAGTCCATGTATCCTCCATTAATTATATTTTAGTCATTTTACTTGATATACTGGATGTTGAAACCAGAATGTTTCTACATTATAAGAAGAACTTAGTTTGTGACCAATAAAAAAGTATATGTCCTATAACAGTGTGGATTCAATCCTGACATGCTGCTTCTTTCATGTTGGCATTTTCATGTGACCTACAATGTAACTTGTTTTGTTTGCACGTCATTTATGAATCCTCTCCCAAGGCCTCATGGGATAGTAAATTGTCCTTTGTATGCATAGTATGCAAAATATTGCAGGTAGTAGTATGTCATCCATGTACTTTTTGACTACTGTGGAATACTGTGAATACTTATGAATACTGTGAATTCAGACATACAGTACTAATGTAGCCTATCTTTTTTTGTTTGCTTGTCTACTACATAGTAGGGAAGTGGAAATATATTTAGAAATGGAGACTGGCACCATTCTGATATATAACACCCACTTTTCATTACCCAATCAGTTCCTTTCCACTACAATAAGAAAAATAAAATACTGCATGAATGCATGTGTGAGTAACATTTATGAAATTATATTTTAAATCCCATTCATGTTTTGAGTATGTCTGTTTGAGGAAAAAAAATCAAATATCCTCATGAACATCCTCATAATCCACTCTCAGGTGCCCTTATTATTGTCACACTTCAGTCTGTGATTCCATCCGACTATTTTCACCCTTCACAGACATATCAACTGTGTGTTTCTGTATTTCTCTTATATTTTGCCATATTTCTGTTGTTTAGACTCTACCCTACTAAATACAACATTATGATTTAATTCCCTATTTAACTGATTTCTTGTTTGACGCTATTATTTGGTGGCTGATCAGCATTTCTGTTCTTTTGTCTGACTTACTGAAGTGTATAAACTGATGCTGTCACCTGAAAACTCCCATCCTTTCATGCCAAAAGCAGACGGGGAGTGGGGCAGTACAGCTGTGGAAGATTTTTTGTCACATCTCCTTCTTTTGACAGATTTTTCACACTCAAAACAAGGTCACATTTTTGTCAAAAGAGTCAAAACTGAGAATGTGGTGGAAGAAACAGATAATCTCTTTATTGTCTTGCTGAAATCTCTATCAAGACTCCATTATAGGAATATTTTATTGCTCAGTGGTTGCTCCTTCTAAGCTCAGGAGACTTAGTTTGTGATTCTCATGTATTTCTCATTTTAGTTTTGTCACATGAACTGCTCCGAGATATATAAGTTGCAGATCCAAGTGCAGCGTTTATTGAAAACAGGACAAAATCCAAGTACACGGTCCAAGAACAGGCAGAAGGTCAAAACCAGTAAATCCAAAAGAAACAATTCCCGAGGGCAAGGCAAAAGGATAATCCACAAAACAGGCAAGAGATTCAAAAACCATGAAACATAAACAAGACCAAAAGAACTCAGAAGGCAGTGTAACAATATAAAACCTAAATGACAATGGTAGAGACAAACGCAGCTTATATAGGCAGGACCCTAATGATCTAAATGGAAGCAGGTGCAAACAGTCATCACACATGAGACAGAGCAATGTAGTCTGGGAAATGGAGTTCATAACAGACTCCATTATAGGAATATTTTATTGCTCAGTGGTTGCTCCTTCTAAGCTCAGGAGACTTAGTTTGTGATTCTCATGTATTTCTCATTTTAGTTTTGTCACATGAACTGCTCCGAGATATATAAGTTGCAGATCCAAGTGCAGCGTTTATTGAAAACAGGACAAAATCCAAGTACACGGTCCAAGAACAGGCAGAAGGTCAAAACCAGTAAATCCAAAAGAAACAATTCCCGAGGGCAAGGCAAAAGGATAATCCACAAAACAGGCAAGAGATTCAAAAACCATGAAACATAAACAAGACCAAAAGAACTCAGAAGGCAGTGTAACAATATAAAACCTAAATGACAATGGTAGAGACAAACGCAGCTTATATAGGCAGGACCCTAATGATCTAAATGGAAGCAGGTGCAAACAATCATCTCACATGAGACAGAGCAATGTAGTCTGGGAAATGGAGTTCATAACAGAATGTCCATGAAGGGAGAAGTGCCCTCTAGTGGCTAAAGAGGGCACACCAGCTGAATACTTTGACAAGTATCAACAGTAGGCGCGTTTCCATTACCCTTCAAATTGCGCAAATTGAAATTGCGAATTGAAAATACGCCTAATGGAAACGCGTCAATTTCGCAAAAAACGCCCATATATCGCAAAAACGTTTTTACGCTCGCATGAGGTGGTTTTTCAGGCAATGCGAAAAAGGAATAATTCGCAAAACTGCAATGGAAACGGCTTTTTCGCATTTACAGGTCACATGGCGCATGTAAAAAGTCATATGATCATTCTTCAATGTACTATAACCTCCAAGAAACACTTCATAAGTAGCTGCGCTTATAAAGATACACGCATTAGCCTCCTTTGAATAAATATAGCCAAAATCCGTCAAAATCCAACCAAAATCCGTTGCCATGACTTATCGCGAGAGGCAAAAGGTTACGTTTTAGCCGCATAACATTGGTTAATGGAAACATTTCGCAATACTTTTTTATCGACATTCAGAAAATATCGCCAAAGTTTTGCGCAAATCTGTAATGGAAACGCGCCTAGTGTCTCAGATGTTTCTCCTAAAATTTCTTAGGATAGATGTTTCTCCTAAAATTTCTTAGGAGAAATAAAAGTAGACACAACTGAGACATGAGAAAGTTCTGAGAGAAAGGAGTCCAAAATGAGAATGAACTGTGAGAAACATGGGAGATCTCTTTATTGTCTTGCTATAATCTCTTTCAAGACTCTTATAAAACTGTTTAGTGCTCACAGGTTGCTCTTTCTTTCTTGATTACGTTGGGGTTTTTCACCTTTAATGGTCAGGACAGTAGGAGTAGAAACAGGAAACAATTGGACAGGTGAGAAGGGAACAGGAGCAGGAAAGTACCTTTAGCTGGGACTTGAGCTGGTGCTGTCTGAGGTGCAGTTGTGCCTTCACATCGATGTGCTGCCCACAAGGCTATGGCTCTGACAGGTTACTCTACACTCAGGATACTATAATTTATAATTAATAATAATTTATGCATTTAACAGACGCTTTTATCTAAAGCGAATTACAGTGCATTCAGGCTATACATTTTTACCAGTATGTGTGTTCCCTGGGAATCAAACCCACAACTTTTTGCGCTGCTAATGCAATGCGCTACCACTGAGCCACAAGAATATTAGGGCTGAAACTATTAACATTAGACACAGGATACTAAGGGCTGATTCTCTTATATGTCTCATTGAGATATCAGCTGTGTCTTAAGACAGTGTTTCCCAACCTTTTTTCTGTCACGGCACAGTTTTGATAAGTGAAAAATTCCATGGCACACCACTATCACATTATCCATTAAAATATAAGAAAAGTGCACAAAGATGCATTGCAATGCATAACATCAATGCATCTGGCAACTGAATTGTTTGAAAGTGGCACTTTTGCAATTTCTTTGACAGCATTTGGACCCAACATTGTTTTCACAATTGCTTTGCATGCAGGTAGAATTAATGTCTCTGCCACTGTATGTGGTTTTTTCAGTTTTGCCACTAAATCAGCAACCAGGTAGCTAGCTTCGATAGCTTTTTCAGACACTGTGGTACTTTTTCTCATCAAAGAAGCCTGTTTCTCCATTTGATCTTCCATGGATGTTTTGTTTGTAGATGGCGTTTAAGCTTGCTAGGAACCATTGCATGGTTAGAGAGTTTTTCTCCACAGACTAAGCATAAGGGGAGTGCTGCCGAGGGATCCCCGGTGAAAGTGAACCCATACGACAGATAATTGTTGCCAGGGCCGGAGTGGGACTCATTTTCAGCCCTGGAGATATGCATCTATATATATTTTATAAAGCTTTATGGGAGACAAATATGAGACCCCCATAGTCTTTAGCTTAAGACAAACCAGAGCACAATGTGTGATTTTATTTTATTATTCCTTTATTTAGCCAGGAAATCACATTGAGATATTGATATCTCTTCTGAGATTAGAGATATCAGATGTGATGCTATTGAGATCTCTTCAAAACTTTTGAGAAGACAAATGTGAGAGATCCAGAGTCTCCAGCTAAGGAGAAATATCTGAGCACAGTGTGTGATGTTACTGAGATCTTGTTTGAAACATTGGAGGAGACAAATATGAGACCACAAGAGTCTTTAGTTTAGGAGAAAAATCTGAGCACAATGTGTGATGATGATGATGAGGTTTCTTCTAAAACTTTAAACAAGACCATTGTGAAAGTGTTAGGCTGATGATACACGGTGCAACTTTTTAAGCAATGTTGCTTGGGTACTTTCCCATTGAGAATGGCTAACAAATTTCTATCTGGATACTTTGAATCTTCATTGATGTCAACAATATGAAGCATTTGCAAATTGTTTTTTTTGCAGATTGTAGGTTCATATCTACTCCATGCAACACTCCTTATGTTCTCTGTGTTCAGTTTCCCATTACAGTTTTCAGACGATTCAGTGCATGCAGTGAACTGAACGAATCATTCAAACTGATTCGCTAACCAATTCAGATTTACGTCAATGAACGAATGATCATTTAACATTTATAATGGAAATAAACAATTATCCACTAGTCTCTTGTTGAACAAATATCGAAATTGTGATATGGATTAAATATTGGAAACATGATGAGTGTAAAAGATGGACAATCAATGGTCATAAAAGCAGGTCAATCCAGACCTGCAGGTGTAACAGTTATTAACTATTGAACGGTAAGATCCTCAGAGGGTAACAACAGAATAATGGAAATATTATGTCAGTGAAGATGGTTGTGAATGTGTGTAGATGCGTGTTAGTTACAGGATCAGAGAATGACACCGTTCCTCTGTCATAATCCAGATCAACTCTCACACGCTCAAGCTTCTGTTTAACAGGAAAACCAGCCCGTTCAGAACATCTGTGCTCCACACACCAGACATCAGTGTTAAAGAAAACACCTCCCTTCCTCTGGTTTGATGCTGTAGTGACTCCAATAAACAATCAACAGCTGCTTTTATTCTGATGTTCATATAATGATCAAGAGTGAACCATACACAGATTTTTATGAATTTTTACACTCGTCCTATTGGTCAAACACATCAGACATTTTCCTCTGATCACTGTCAGTGTAATGATTTGCTGCTATTGAAATCACATAGACCTACATGATGGATGGAGATAGGTGCCTTTCCAGGCCCTCTTGGAGGAAGGAAAGCACTGACCCAATACCACATCTCCTAAGGTCTTCCTCCTGGGAAGAACACCAATTGATGAACAAGCGCCACTTCAGAGCATATATCTGCCTTGTAGAGGGGGCTCTAACTTGAGTAATTTTATCTATCACTGCTGGTGATAGCCCTCAGAATTCCTCCTCGTGGAGGAGATGGCAGGCGAGTTGTGACATGCGACGAGAGCGAATACCACCCTGGTGGTTGATATAAGCTACAGTTGCTGTGTTGTCCATCCGGATCAGCACGTGCTTGCCTTAGATCAAAGGTCGAAACCACCTCAAAGCACAGCCAACAAATCTAGGCAGTTGATGAGCCAATGTATCTGGGGTCCTGTCCAAGAACCCAATGCTGCATGCATACCGCTCCCCTGCCTGTCGTAGAAGCATCTGTTGTTACAACAATGCATCTGGACACTTGTTCTAAGGGAGCTCCTGCCCGTAGAAACAAAGGGTCTGTCCAAGGGCAGAATGTATGGTGACACTGTGGTGTGCCAGAGCTGTTAAACCACTTCTTCATCTTGGCTGAGAGGATATGCTCTATTGCTAGGAGGACAGCAATGTCTGCCGGATGAACAGTGGCATTATCTCCTCATACTAAGGTAAATAGAATGCCACTCACAGGAGCTGATGAGACACAATCAACAGCTGCTTTTATTCTGATGTTCATATAATGATCAAGAGTGAACCATACACAGATTTTTATGAATTTTTACACTCGTCCTATTGGTCAAACACATCAGACATTTTCCTCTGATCACTGTCAGTGTTGTTACAGTAAATATTTTAGATTTGCCAATCAATCAAACTGAACTGAGATCTGCTGTATCACTGTAACTGTAAATATCACTTGGACCAAAGTTGTTCTTCTCTTGTTTCCGGCTCATTTTGGTGTAGTAGCTCATCTGGTGTAACCATCTGTGGTGGGCTCCACCTATTGGCAGAGGCAGCCATACACAGAGAACAGGTGACAGAGTGAAGCTCTGTCCAGGTGAAGACACAGGGTTTGCACTAGGGAAACCAAAAAGAGTAGAAGAATATACATATGGGACCTAGTGTTAGAGAGTCACTTCATATGGAGCACTAACCCAATTACGAGGGCTCATTTATAAAGGGGAATAACCACAGGTAATGGTTCTAGTAATGAGTTCCCCCACTAAACTCATCTACCACAATGTGCTTAATGATGGAAAAGTTAGTAGTCCAGGGTTCACCACTCAATGGACACTAGAACTGGACCCAAATAGCACATGTTATCACAGCAGACAAAGGGCTGTTCAGATAACCTGAAACTCTGTGTGGTCCAGATAAATTCACAAAACTTGTACTGGGCACAACAGAGACAAAGCTAGGTCTCCCTCATCAGCAGGGATAGCTTGCAAGGTTACCACCTGATCCCTGAAGGGGGTAGTAGGAACCTTAGGCATATATCCGGGATGGGGTCTCAGGACAACATGAGAGTATGCGGTCTGAACTCTTGGCACGTCACTTTTACAGAGAGGTCTTGTAGATCCCCTACCCTCTTGACAGAAGTGAGTGCGGTTAGGAGGGCAGTCTTCATGGAGAGGGCACTGACTCCAAAAGCTCAAATGGATCTCTCTGTGAGGCCCGTAAGACCACTGAGAGATACCAAGAAGGGATGAGGTGCGGTCTCTGGGGATTTAATCTCTGCACACCTCTCAGGAATCAAATAATGAGATTGTGCTTTCCCATCGATCTACCATCCACAGTGTCATGATTTGCTGCTATTGAAATCACATAGACCTACATGATGGATGGAGATAGGTGCCTTTCCAGGCCCTCTTGGAGGAAGGAAAGCACTGACCCAATACCACATCTTCACCTCTACACAGTTAAGTGTTGAGATTTACCCTGGGTGCTTTGACGGCAATAAACCACTTCTTCATCTTGGCTGAGAGGATATGCTCTATTGCTAGGAGGACAGCAATGTCTGCCGGATGAACAGTGGCATTATCTCCTCATACTAAGGTAAATAGAATGCCACCGTATTATATACAGTGCGCTGTGAAAGCTCTTTTAGAGAAATTACTCTTTACTACTCTTTTAGTAGGAAATTCAGCTTTTAGAGATTGCCGTCAAAGCACCCAGGGTAAATCTCAACACTTATCTGTGTGGAGGTGAAGAGAGACCGCTGATTGTGCAGTATATCCAATAGCGAGGATACCTGGATGTCCGGGGCATGGCCATACATGCAAATTTCACTCACCAATTTCACTGGTCTTTTCTGAATACGTTAAAGGTGTTTGGGGCTCCCAAGAGTGACCCCTAGCTTTAGAATTTCAACACAACATGAAAAGGGACAGACTGAAAGGAAACTATAAATATTCCCTCATGCGTCATTTCCAGTGTGTGTGTAACAGCACAGATCTTCTCCAGACTCACTGTTTTGGACGATGTCCTGCATCTTCTTCCAGACTCTGAAGGGCAGGTTGCCCAAGTAACGCGGCACATGAATCAAAGCTCCAGAAGGCGTCTGTGGATCCGGCTGTGATGAGATCTGGACTCTGGAAGAACATTCAGGATCAGAACTGCAGTGGCTTTGGATCAGAAGCAGAGAGACCAGAGACACAAGCAGGTCACTCACCTTTCCATTGAGACTGGAAACTTCTGCAGAACAAACACACAATTTATCATCAACAACTCAATCAGTC